AGGTTCATTACCTTTAATCGCGTGAGAGCAATTTCCACTGCACTACTAGTTTTGATAACAACCACTAAAATAAAAGAGAAAAAAAAAAGCCCATCGTTCGTTTATGTTGACAGTGTGCCGCAGTGTACACACTTCACATCCAGTAAACAAAAAAAAAACAAAAAAATCCGATCTTTTTGTAATGTTTAGGTTAGATTTATTCGATTTAAGTCATACTAATATCACTGTAGCTAGAAAATATCGATTATCACTGAATTATTTTTTTAAACACGGCAGGTTGTTTGATAAATTCTTCCGATCCGTGAAAACAATGCGGAAAAATAATTACTGCAATTTTAACAACTTTTTGTTCGTGAAAACTCCACTATATACTAGAACAAAAACAGCTTAGTTTTTTTGTCTTTTTTTGGCGAAAAAGTTGTATTAACTTTTCTTTTCGCAATCTGCTTTTCTTGCAATACGTATCTGGCGAACGAAGGCGGAGGTAATAATAAAGCTCAACGCGTGGATTTGTTCTGAAGACCACTTCTAAATCTTTCTAGTGTGGTGATTCTTTTATTTAAATACAGAACATATGCACATATTAAATGCATCAATTAACAAACAAGAATGAATAATAACAAAGAAAGTTTTTCAGGATTATACATATATTTTTTTTTTTTTTTGCGGTAAAGGTTTGATTTAAATCATACTAGTAAAACTGGTTTGATTTAAATCACGATTTAAGCCATCTTGATTTTTATTCTACACCCTAACCGTAGCCCTCGTTCCCCTTTTATGTCGACCCATTTCGCGTGACTGTCACCATATTTAAATCTGACGTAGCCGGGATTGTAAAACAACGTGACAAAAAAGAAAAAAAAAAAAGAACGGCGTTGAAATTAACAGCGATTAAGACGAATGGAAACAGCACATGGCGCACTCTCGACTGAAGTTTATTGAAAATAAATTTATTGAAAATTACTTCTCTCACAGAAATCAACCCGCGATAGGCCGACTTCGAAGCCAGTTGGCATCCCATACATGCACACACACACTATTTGAGAAAGGTAGCCCAGCGTACAATGCGCCGGTGTTTTTTTTGTTTTTTTTTGCGCTTAATAAGATGGCGCGACTTTGTCACCAGATATATAACCCACAGCTGTCGTTTTCGAATCCGTGCGCAACTAAACACCGAAATAAGGACGTTGAGTGCGCTACAGGCGTTGTCTACGAAGTTCCGATGACGTGTGGGATAACATGTGTGGGCCAGACGGGCAGGTGCGTGAATGATCGCATCCGCGAGCACGTAGCTTCCACAAGAACGACTCCTTCGGGGCATCTTGCGATTCATTGTAACCGGTGATCTTGCACCTCGGCCTTCAGTGACACTGAAAAGTGGGCTAGGTACAGAGATGAAGTTTTCGAGAGAATTGGATGAATCGCTTGAAATTAGGACCAGGAAGAAGAAAGTGCACAAGTGGCATGTCCTTATCATTATCTACAAATGAGTTTGAATTTCTGATACGCGAGCTGATAAGACAAGGATGCCGAATTTTTTTTTTTTCTGATGGCCATATTAATACGTTATTTCCAATAAGCTTCCGTTGAGAGTGTGCCCTGTCCTGTTTCTCTTCGTCTTAGTCCCTGTAATTTTTGGCGCTGTTTCTTTTTTTTTTTTTGCATTGAATTGATTGGTTTACATTAGCACTTTACTGAAATACAACCTTTTTTATGTTCCGTTCGAATGAGGTATGTACTGAAACAACTGCTTTTTAAACAATGGTGAAATGTGAAGATTTGGCTATGCGGTTTCGGTATACTACATAAAATATCATTTCATAAATAGATATTCAGCAACTACCCAACCTGCAGCCCATTACAGTGCTTATATTTTCCTACGTTTTTTTTTTTTTTTGTGAGTTTTATTTAGATTATTTTATTTTCGTCAGGCAAGACTTCACGTGTTCCAGGACGATTTCATTTTTTTACAAATTAATTTTGCTAGTGAAGTGGGGAATGACCGCATGTGCATAAGGTATACCCCAACATACTTCAGTTGAGTGAACGTGTTTCACTTGTGTGAGTGCTCGATGTATGGGAGCTTTTCTCCGCATCGGACAGTTTTGCGGTGAGCTTTTCTCCGCCGCCCGTCTCAGTTGTCCCGTTAGTGTTCGTGTCTTGTGCCGTGTTGCTGTTGGTCGTGTGTTCAATCTCGTTTGTTTCAAGTTCTGCGAATGTTGCCTCGATCGTTCGTCTAGTAAATTCCCTTGCCTCCTCTCCCTCTACATTTATCACCTCGTGTGTGGTCAATGAACAATATAACCCTTCTGTTTTTCTCCCCTTTGTATTAATGCTCCCAGAACCTTTTTGCTGCGTTCCTATAATTTTGATTTACCTCCATCATCCACTGCACTCCAGCTCTACCAATCTTGGCCTAGATTCGAGTAGATGTCTTTCTTTTTCTTTTCTAAATGCATCGCATTTCGGTGCTACCTCAGCGGATTTTCTTCGCCCATCTGTGTTTTCCTGAGGCCTCTTGTCGCCCTGCTATGACCGCCGTAGCTTCACTGCCCCACCAGCTTTTTGGTGTGTCTTTCCTTCTTCCTCTTTGTTTGGTTTTTAACTTCTCTAGCTCTATTTTAAAAGTGTTTACTAAATCGTCATTTGTATATTATCTCTCCAGTTGCCCGGAAACCATTCGTTCTGATACTTCTTGGAGTTGGTCATCGTTTAGGATCCATAGACATTCTCGTTCAAGAATTTATGTCTCTAGTTCTGCTGTACCGAACCTTATTTTAAGTCGCTTATGATCCCTTCCTAAGCTTTTCGTGCCTTCCTCATCTGTTCGAATGTGTCCTAATCTGTTATACAATTTGTTGGAGCTTAGACAGTAATCAATTGCTGAGTGCGAATTGTTTCTCTTCCACTATATTTTACCTCGTAGGAAACCGCGCGAAAACAGACGAGGAGGTAGAAGAAACACACGGGAAGAGCGACTCAAATATTTTCATAGCAAAACATGCGAAAACGACCATTCATCGTTGGTAGTACGACCCCCCGCCTGCGTATCACGAGGCAATTCATAACAGCGTGATGACACGTGATAAACGCGAGAAAGAGCGATATGACGCTAGCCAGATCCAAAAACGCCACCTCGCCATCTAGCAGTGCCAAAGACGGTTGGCTGACACTGGAGGCTCCCGTCTTTTGTTTTATTTGGTATGCCTCTACTATCGTTCTAGAGTCTAGACTCTAGACCCTTGGTCCTTCAGCTTGAACAAAATTTCGCTGTCACTCAATCTTGGCTCACACGTATACGTGTGAGCCAAGATTGAGTGACAGCGAAATTGCCGCGACTGTATACAGTCGCGGCAATGCATTGCAAGATGAGAGTATGCACACCCCTTCAGTGAACTATAGTGCCCTCTTAAAAACGTTCTTCGTTTTTTTTTTTTTTTTTTTCTAATTTTAGTTATTTGGTCTGGTCAGCGTCGTTGCGTCTTTTCTATTGAAGGACAGCTCCAATTCGGGCTTCTTTCGGTTTCCCCCGATATGGATAAAACCGGCTCGGGTGTTACTTTTCGGTGTTTATTGATTTACACTGAAAACGCAGAACCCTACTCACAATGTGTGAAGCGAATCTAGAAAGTAATGGGGAATCTCTTTGGTGAATTTGGAGCGAACAATAAGCGCCTTTAGTGCGGTAAATGCGAGCCCGCGCTTGCACGCGCTAGAAGATAAATCAACAAAAAACGCCCGAAAACCGCTCTAAATCCCAAAAGGCTCGCTGCGCAATCGCTACCTAACCCCACATTTACTCCCTAAAAAAAAAAAAAAAAAAAAAGTTGCATTTTTTTATTGATTGTGCACGGCTGACTTGCGCAGCCGCCGCCTAAAAAACCTCTGTTCCGCACTCAGGGACTCGAGCCAGGTAGCATGTCAGCAGTGGACTCAGAGCGTCTTCTGACGCAAGATTGTACTGGTTTATTTACGTGACTATATACTAGGAACCGGACAGCGTGAGATAGTTCAAGCATGTCAGTCGAATTGGATATGTTTCTGAGCACGCTGTACAACTTTATATTTTGACCTTTGCTCTAAGTGGAATAGTTATAAAGTTCATGAAGTATTCTGAAAATATTATTTCATCCGAAAACAAAAATAGCCTGTGTTGTTTTAAAGTATGAGCGAACTAATTCCTTCAATTTCGTCTTCCTAAATTACATCAAAATATTCTTAAACCTTGGCTGAAGTTCCGTGAAACACTTTGTATACATTTGTCAAGTGGATGACCCATGATCTCACTGTGTGACTTCCTCGTTCAATAGTGCGGCTCTGCAGTAGTGGCACAGGTGCGCCCGTCACGCGTGCCTGTTTTCGGCTTCCAATATCTTATTCTTTACTTCTTTGTGCCGTTCGTTCACGAGCAGAGCCATAGATTCTGTGAGAGTAGGACATTCTTTTGAAGATGCTTTCAGTCTATCAACCACTACCCGAGATCTGGCAACCGAATGTTTCCACCGCCATTATGTGCGAATCATGCATGACCCGCTCTGGATTAGCCACAGGCGTAACAGAGTTCCGAGGAACGAGAAATATTGCTAGAAACCGCGAATTTTAATGGGCTAGCTCAGAGTGGAGTGGAGAAACGTAAATGAATTCCCGTCTTGTGCTGTCGCGAGGTCGAGTCGTTCTAGCTAGATTTAGCGGGTCACGAGCTCCACCGATCCGCCGAACTCACTCAGTATATACAGCCATGTTCTGCACCGCATGTGCGGCATTAGTATTGCGGGGGGGGGGGGGGGGGGGGGGGGGACAACACGAGAAGATCCCTTTTTTTATTTACAGCAGAACCATCGCCTTGACTGTCTGTCGAAAAATCCAGTTCTTGTACTCTCTGTGCTCTTTTCTCGTATTTTGTTGACATTATTTTTTCGACGGCACTAATACCTCAAACTTTAGCAATAAGATGAGCTCTTCTAGTACTGAGTGACTGAATCGTCGCGTCCACTGCGCAGAGGCCCCTGCGTGACCACCTGGCCGTGCGGTACCTGCTGTCCGAAGCCCGCCGTCACCAGGTGACCGAGAAGAGGCTGTGCCGTGCCCACATGGAGCTCCAGGGACAAACGGCCACGTACCTTTGCTACCTGGCCAGCACCCGCAAGGGACATGTGCGTCGCTACTCTCCACGCACGGAGCTTCGGACTCTCTCTCGGGGGTCTGACCTCATTGACAACACTTGCCCATTCTATAGTAAACTTTAGCGGCAGGAACAAAGTGGTAAACTGGGCCTGCTGTTACTAACTAAAAACGTAATTGATAAATATCAGCTTTAAAAAAATAGGAACGAAGAAAGGAACAAACACGCCAGGATGGAGCCGAACTCCTGTAACTAAATTTATTACTTATTTAATACTTATTTACCGACGCCATAGCATTATGGAAACATTACTTGCACGCAAACAGATTCTGTGATTCGCTTGGAGGAGGTGATATGCTTACCGCATGAGAGATCACATTGATAGCTGTGTCGCTGTGCAGATTCTTAGGCACTGCATTGTTCATTTCGGGTCATTCACAGCCACAAACTCACGAGGGGCGGTTTGCTCATCTTGCGGCCGCGGCTGCGGCCAAGAGGGATTTTTATGCCACGTGACCAGCTCCATGGGGGCAAGGTTGAGGGAAGTACTTAGCGTCCCTGCCTACTGTCGGAGAAGTCCGTGCAACTTTGAGTAGAAACCTCCAATTTCGCTCGCAAAAACTGACTGCCTATGCTTTTAACTGGTGTCCGATTAACCGCCCCTTTATACTTTAGGAACGGCAGGTAAAGTAACGGCCAGGAAAGGTAAATATTAACCCCACCCCCCCAAAAAAAAAAAAAGAAAAAAAATTTTACGCGAGATAAAAGCGGTGGCAGTATATTTATATCTCCGCACCAGCGCTGGAGTCCTGAGCTTTCTGCTTTAGTCGAGAGGTAAGAGCGCCAGTAATTGTCGTCTCGGCATGAAAGTTCCGGGCTCAAACCACGCCGGAATTTTTTTTTTCTTGTGCTTAATTGGTGGAAGTTTTTTTTGTTTTTTTTTTAATTGTTACTATCACAGTGTGTATAAGTACGAATTAGGCGCCTCCTGTTTTTGAAAGGAGTCATAGCAAGAGCGTTGTATATTTGAAAAAAACACAAAAGTGCATGTAGTTGCTGGGGGAAGAAAGCTTTTTTCGGCCCCGTTTGTGTTAAAGTCATACCGATGCTGTAATCTTGGTTCCTTTTTAATGAACATTATAAAACGATTGTATTAGCCCGTTAACTTGGCCTGATATTTATTTTTCTTCCGGTGTGTCGATTCAACAGGTGGGACAAATCGTAGAAACCGCGTAAGGCGCAGTAGTGCAAGTGGATGATTTGGACGGTTTGCTAAAAGGATCACAGTTAAAAAATAAGACACACGCGCAAAATACAAAAAAGATATATAATAAAAAAAGTTTTTGGCGTGATTTGAACTCGGAAGTCTCACGCCGCGACGACAAGTCCCGACTACAGCAAAAGGCGAGTATCGCCGACGCTGGCGGAGTTATATAACTATACACTCCGTGCGACGCGACTGGCGCGCCGCCGCGCGGCCGGTACTGAAAGTAGGCAGTGAGAACCCCAGAGAAAACGAAACCGAAACCACTCCGCGTAGGTTGGTACGCATTGAAGTCGGAGCGGTGCGGTTGCGCTGAGTTCACAGCATGGAGTGCTGCCTGTGCGTGCTGCGCCATTAAGTGCTTCAATAGTTATGCGTCGTATCTCGTGCGGACAAAGTTTCACAGTTTTTCACCTCGCTGATGTTTTGTGGGACAGCGACAACGACGGAGCCGTGCCGTACGACGGGAGAAATTTGATCTCCCGATCATGTCTGCCACTGTGTCGGCACGGCTGACATATTCTACACTGCCGTTTGCGCTCTGCGTTTGTTTTCGCACCAGTAACGCCTTCATGTGTCAGCGCCGATGGGACGAACTGAAATGCCATCCCACACTCGCGGTTATGCAGTGCCGATTTCGTTGGAGGAATGCCCTCCAAAAAAGTTTCGTCCCCATCGTACATGTCGATATTTTCGGACAAGTATGGCACGCAATATCTACTCCATGAAGAAAGATTCGATCGGTAAAAAAAGTGGCAAATATAAATCTAAAGAAAACAACAATGAAACTCGAAATCACTAAAGAATCGATGTTTGAGTATGGAAGTTTATGTGGTGAGCTTTCTTTCTTGATCAGCCTCCTTTTGGATGTGGAAACGCTGACACCCCGAGTCCTGTCGACAACATTTTTTTTCTCGGCTTTAGATCCACCTATTGCAAAGTGGTTCGAACTGGAAGTACCGTCCGCTGGTCCCTTCCTACCTGTAAAGTGTGCACCTCCCACGATGAGTGGCATTATCTTGACAGCCTTTGACGATCAAAGCCAATTCCCACTTAGTTACGCCGCCCAAACTAAATTTCCACCTGGTTTCGCTATGCCAACTCTTTTTGGTATAATAAGTGTTGTGTCAAGTTACGATCATGTCAACGTACCTGTGCGCCGAAAATCAGCACCTCCCACAGCAGGTTATTACACAACAGCTGACCGCAAAAGCCCTTGACGGCCAAACTGTGTGTTGGCCGACAACTTTGTTTTCTCGGCTTTGTAACCACCTTTCATAAAGTGGTTTCAATTGGAAATACAGTCTACTAGTCCCTTCCTACCTCTAAAGTTCCACCTCCCACGACCAGTGGTATTCTCTTGACAGCCTTTTCATGGTCAAAACCGGTTCCCATTGAGCTACGCCGACCAAACTGAATGTTCACCTGGTTTCCCTATGCCCCCTTTTTTTGTACAATAAGTGCTGTGTCATGTTACTGTCAAGTCCAAGCACCTGCGTGCCCAAATCTGCACTTTGCACAGCCCGCAATAACACAACAATTTGGGTCCAATATTGAATATCCCGTACAGCTTTATTTCTTTATTCGTTAGAAACCTAACTTTCACACCTGCTGTCTTAATGAAACTTGGCACAATTCGTGCACAAACTTGGTGAACATCTCACTCGCCTCCAATATCATCGTTCCAGCAGTTCTACGTTTACAGCGACGAGCGAAATAAATTTTCCACTCAGAGGAATTATGGTGGCGACCGTCTTGCTTTTCGGAAAATTGCTCAAACTCCTTTTTCGGCCGCAACTAGAGAAATTACCCCTAAGAGCGACCCAAACTCAATATATAAGAAGTGGAGAACAGCTAGATGCCCTTCTTAGGTCTGCCCCAGCACTCATGCAACGCCATCATCAACGTATCGGCTCAAAAAGCAAAAGTTTCGTCCGGGCGCGCTTCCGCCGCCACAGCTTGGCATGCGAAAAGGCGCCGCAGGCTGCTGAGCGCGCATCACTGTCGAACGCCAGCTCCTCCGCTAGCGGCGCTGCGCGCGTTTTTCAAAGCGCCCCCTATAGTTCCCGCACGGAGTGTATACTGCACCGCTTTTATCTCGCTTGATTTTTCCTTTATTTTGTGTCATATTTACCTTCCCTGGCCGTAACTTCACCTGCCGCTCCTCAAATATAAATGAGCGGTTAATTTGACTCCAGTTGAAAGCCTCTGCGGTGAGTTTCTACGAGCGATATTAAACTTTGGTACTCGAAGCGACACGGATTTCTCAGCCATTAGGCAGGGACGTTAGGTAATTCCTTGTCCCCATGGAGCTGGTCACGTGACATAAAAATCCCTCTTGACCGCAGCCGCGGCCGCAAGATGAGCAAACCGCCCCAGGGGGATTAGTGGCTGTGGACTACATAGCTCTACGCAGGTGGGAGCATGTGATACAAAAGCTCGCGCTACAGAACCCGGGTTCCTCGGCTCAAATCTCCAGCCCTGTCTGTTTCGATCTATATGAGCATCGTGCCGACATGCGGTCGTGCATCACCACTGCGTGATGGATGATACAGGCCCGGGCTAGCAGTGCCACTGCAGGGACAACATGTCTTTTACAGCGGAGACGCCAGTCGCCCATTGGGACTGACGTCTTCCCGCTGTGTAGAACACCGACAACACAATTACTTTCGCCGCTCACGTGTTCACACACAGCCGCTGACGTCCTCCAGTGGACTAATTGAAGACTATTTTCTTTCATTAGGAGTTGCAGCAGCAGTATCATGGCCGGAAAGAAAGGAGTGTCGAAGAGTCTGCACGCTTGGTTGGCCTCGCCCTGCCTAAGCCTCCCGGAGACACCAAGGACTGCTAAGTTCCGAACGTGTTTGTTCTGTAGGACGTTCTTGTTTTAGACTCCCCGACCCAGTGATATGTAGAGGGCCGTCGTAAATCGCCCGAAACGAGCGCTTACTTGTCTAGATGCAGTCGTCACGATTAAAACAATGTTTGAGGCACCCTATTTGTCACATTTTATTTTGCTGCATCAACGTGTCTGCATGGACCTATATTAAAATATAAGGGTTTGCTATTTCATGATGTAATAATGTCTATTCATGCTTAGATTCTGAACATGGCGTGATTTGTATTTCGCTATTAAAATCTTGTTTTCGTTCAGTATGCTAATGATAATTTATGGTGCAACTTGGGGCACCTCTTATAGCCCGCCCCCCACCGATAGTCGGGGAATCATGTCCTCGCTTTTGTTGTTTTGGGCCTCGTATCCAAGATAACCATAGGGGTGCGCAGCATCCACTTGTTCACTCCACAAAGCCCACGTCCCGTTACGACGATGGTGGCGGCACAGAACGCCATGGCGCGTTCAGTGTGCGTTCCCCAGAAACGCATCCAGGACGCGGCAGCGGCTGAGCACCCGCCGCTCCAGAAGCAGGTCGAAGGGCGCCAGCGAGTGCATCCACAGCGGCAACCATGCCCACGTCCGGAACAGGGGTGGGAGCCAGTGAGGCCGCCTCTGCTGGACCACGTTCAGAACCAGCAGCGACAGCGCCGCCAGTAACACCGGCACGCCGATGGCGCTGAATAAGGCGGTACCGACGAAGGACAGCGCAAGCACAACGACGGGTAGGCTGACGAAGAGGACCAGGAGGTAGGCGAGCGCGAACCAGCGGTACTGGGCGGCCGTGCTCGCCAACAGTCGGGCCAGGGGCAGTGGGAACCGCATAAAGGGCACCGGGTAAAAGAGGAGCGCGCCGTAGACGTTCAGGAAGCTGTGGCATAGGGCCAGCTGCAGAGCGTCGCGGGTCGGCTCTCCCGCGAGGGCGGCCAGTATGCCCGTGGTCGTGGTACCGATGTTGGCGCCCAGGAGCAGTGGGTACACGCGCTCCAGGTCCACTTCACTGGCGGCCGAGAGGAGCGTGAGCATGGAGCTGACGGCCGTGCTGCTCTGGAGGACTAGGGTGACAAGGAGGCCCAGGCAGAGGCAGGTGTAGCCCTCGATGAAGCCCTTGGGGAGGCGCGAGAGCGCAAGGACCAGGTGTAGCCTCAAGGCTGGGTTGAGGGTGCGTGCCAGGAGGCTCAGGCAGCCCAGGAGCAGCAGTAGCGAGAAGAAGAGCAGGAGGAGGCCGGTCCCTTGGTCGCCGAGCTGGAGCTGTGCCATAGCGCTGCGGCCTGCGGTTTGAATATTTCAATATGGTACCTGGAGCCCGTGTTTGACTGGTGTGTTTACCGCGTCTTCAAAACTGGTCGTTGATTTTCGACTGATCATATCATAAAACTGTCATGCTATTGCCTGCCGCGATCCTGGTTGTGGGACAGCGGCGGGGGTGGATATGACAGACGCTTATCCTGCTGTAGATTGCGCTGTAGCCGGGTAGTCGACGTAAACCAAAGCGGACACGTGGTGGAACGCCGCGACAACGACGACCTTTGCGTCCGCTCTGCTTTTTCGCTAGCGTTTCTAAGGCCAACCGCCAGGATCGCGACACCCGGGAGTGTAACACACCGGTTCCTGTGAGACAATTTGTTGCCACTTTCGGACCACCTTCGCCGCATGGGTAGACTCGGTAAGAGCACCTGTCGAAGGCGCGTTCCGGACATCGTAGTTGAGGAAGGGTGCCTCAACGTCCTTCCATTTTGGGTGTTGAAATTCTTTGTAGGATTTCATGTCGAAAGTACGCGCTCACAAAGAGAAGGCGAAGAAATTTCCGGGGACAAAATGCCACTGTAGTACAGTTAAGGCCAAGAGTGCATGCCGAGACGTGCTTTCACGCACTCCAAGAAAAAAAAAAAAAAAAGGAATCATTTAGGACAAAATGGTTAGGCAAAGCGCGTGTGGATTGTGGAGGCACCCTAAGGAGGTGGTATGTTGAGATGCTCGATTATGCAGGGTGTGCGAAAGCGGCTGATCTGGTTCCTGAACTTACATGATCGTGTGCAAGAACTGCCGTTGAAAGAGCAGCAGATGCGGACCGTGCTGAGCGCAGGCACAGCATGCCCGTGTTCCGAGGCCTTGTGCGGTTCTGTGTCCTCTAGCTGCGATTGAGAGTTGTCGCTAAGAATGAAAATTTTACTTGATGTCTACATTCAAAACATTTATACACCGCTGAGTGCGGAATGTAATGAGCAAAGAAGTTGCGCGAAATTTTTACCTACTGGCAAATGCCGTTAAAACATTTGTGTGCATTAGATGATGACAATAATAAAGATATAATAGTGGCTTTTGATCACTATTGATCATGTATTTCATTCATTGCTGTTTCTTTTTTATTGTTTAATTTTGTTCTGTTTTGTACAATTATTTCCCATTCCTGCGATCGCCTTCGCAGTGCAGAAGTATTAAAAATATATATATATATATATATATATAAAACATACTACGATAACAATGCTTTTTATTCCAGGAGCATTTTGTGACAGACCAAATACGGTTCTGTCAAAGCCATAGTGCTTGTGGGGCGGAAACCCGGCAAATCGATCGGCGAAAACGAAGGGTACATAATGCGACCGAACTCTGCTGCCAGCACATGCAGCGGGGGGTTAAAAAACGTGACGTGCAGCCAAAATTCCTATAAGGTACAAAGGGCCGCTTAAAATCACTACTTCAGCAGTGGCTAAGCACTACATTTTGCAAAAAAAAAACAACAACAAAAGCTTGGCATCCATAGAGCTTCAAAGATACTGATTTTCAGATACAAAAACAAGCTGTTATCAACACCCTTTAAAATACGGTCAAGTTTAGTTTCCCAGAGCTCCGCGCAATTCCCAAGTAACGTAATACCGTACCGAAGTTTGCTATAGCCAAAGTCATGTGCGATTGATTTCCCCGCAAAGAACGGCACAAAGACTATGGTTATAACTTATAAAGCAGTAACTAAAACTCCGAAGCTTTCTACAAGCGCACAATAAATGCGAATGCCCATGGCATTTCATACATAATCAAACATCACACTTGAATACTTGACATGATCAACATATTCCAGACGGAAACACTCACAATCAAGACAATTCGAGCATTTTATAGGTTACTGGCGTGTCAAGGTTCACTTTCTTTAGCGCATTCCTAAGTTTGATTTTCAATGCATTAATTGTAATATATTTTTTGCCGAACCAGTTCATTACTATGCGTTCTAACCAGTCGACATGTATCAAGGTTGATACACAAGCAGAAATGCGTGGAAGCCTACGATAGAGCAGAACTAAAACCGCTTCAAAATCTCAAACTCTTCTAAAACCACATTAATATGTTGTAATGATATATATATATATATATATATATATAGATATATATATATATATATATATATATATATATATATATATATATATATATCATCAAATATGCGGTAGTCGTATGGAGATACGCGTGTACGTGGCTCTTTGTTTGGCGCCCGTTATATGAATGGCGTGACTGCTCAATATGGTATCGACCAGACTTGTACCTATCTCAAATTCTCCACTCACGATACTGTATTTCAAATAGCGCCACCGCCACTCCAGACGTTTTAAAATATAACCTCCTTGGGTACGAAGCGTGCGACTGAATCCGCGTCCTAGCCGTACGCTGACGTATACACCTTTTCCGTCTAACCTCGACCCAGCGCGTAATATGCATAGCCTCGACTCGGCGAGTCGGCGCACAGCGCGAATAGTTCTTCCGGTTCTAACACTTCCGGTATGCGGGAGCAGGCCTAGTCGGCTGGCAAGATGCTGAAGTGGTGCGCGTTAAATGGGTTTTGAAGCCCTTGACAGCGTAGTGAGTTGTAATAAGGTGGGTTAATACGTCGATGTATCATGTCCGCGCATATTTGGTCATCGGGCTGCCACTGCGCAGTCGTTGGCTGCAGCAGCAATTTCCGAAAACGGAAGATAGCGCGCGACAAATTGTGCACCGAACACAAGAAGTCGCAAAGCGAATGCGGCTGTAACGTATACACTTTGCATCGCTTCCCCGCTGATATCAGCGGGGAAGCGATGCAATATCAGCACATAAGAAAAGCAAAATAGGCAGTATAGAAACAGACATCTACAATCGCAGTAATAGGCCTCGACAAGTCAAATGTGGAACGAATTTTGCAGCTTGTGGTGCAAATGTAAGACCGTG